GCATAAACAAGCTGAAGATGACGGCAATCTTTGTTTTTCTTTCCAAGTGAACGGACGTGTTTTTTTCTTGCGCTCTCGTTTTGTGTTAAAGTTTGAAAATAACCACCGGGGTTAACTTAAATATTCTATTTTGTGTTAATAACTTCCCGTTCACTTCGAGTGTGCATGCAGCTATTCTAATTTTGCGTTTATAATTGGTTTTATTTCCCAATTTAGTTGTGCTGCTAGTGCTAGCTTTTGCATATTTTGCATTTCCTTTTGTGCCTTCTTCGTTTAGCTTTTGTTTGCGCCATCGCAACAGCGAACGTTTTTGCTATCTATTTATCTCCCATGCTCTCCCACTCTTTTTATCTACTCTGATCTCCCACGCTCTCCCGCTCTCTCGCTCTCGCTGTGCCGCTGCACTTCTAATCTTCATAGATCTGTTGTTTTTTTTTCTTTTTTTTTCAAGAAGTACAGTGGTAAGTCCTTATAATGTCCGTAAATATTGTCTGTTCCGCCAAAACCTGCAAAAAGGCTATTTCTACAGGTGACCTTACAATCGGCTGCTGGCTGTGCGACAACGTCATACACGCCAAGTGTATTGGTGTTGCAGCTCGGACGGTGGACGATGTAAAAAAAACATCGGCCTGCGTTACTGCTGTGAGGCCTGTCGCGAGGTAGAAAGGGAAATGATGTCTTTCATGCGGCAAACCAAAAGCCGTTTTAAGAACATTTTAACGAGTTTTCGTAAAACTCTTGATATGTTCTTGGCGCTGGACACTCAATTTAATAGCCTTACGCTATTAAATGAGTCTCCTAGGCGCAAAAAAACTGCTATTGGTGGGCAGCATGTAGACGAAATCCAGCTACATGTAAAGGGCTCTCAGCAGCAGCCTCCCTCGGCATTAATTCCAAGAGTGGTGAGATCGAGCGCTAGAAAAGATTCGGTACCCGAATGTGCAGTGGGAGTGCCCGTACCGCCGGTGATTTCTTTTTTTGTCCCCCGAGGGGTCGCAAATATTGACCCCTCAAAGTCCCGTGTTTAACGATATATCTGCCCAGGGTGTTAGGCCCGGAATACCGGCCGACAATGGCACGGCAGATAACCAATCTGCCTTGCCAAAAGCCCTTATAGCGGTTCCACCGACGAGACATATTTTTGTCTCGCGGCTCTCCCCTGATCAAACATCAGAAGATGTTCTCGCCTTTATACAAGGCAATACCAGAACCGAAAAAAATTAAGATAATGGTGGAAAAGTTTAAATTTTCTTACGCTAGGGACATTTCATCTTTCAAAATAAATGTCCCTAACGAGCTCTTTAACTCTATTTGCTCTCCCAACTTCTGGCTAGAGTACATCGTTGTTAAGGAGTTCAAAGCGAAGAAAAAGAAAAAGCGGCCTGTAGGAATAACTCTTCCCAGGCCTGATCATACCACTGCGCCTTCTACGTCTTCCAATTCCGACCCAAAAAACTCCCTAGGTATTTCCTATCAGAAGGCAAGAGGCTTACGTAGTAAGCTTCCTAACTTGTATTCTGATAGCCTTTTCGTTTGCATCTCAGGTTATTGTGCTCACAGAAACCTGGTTAAAGCCGGAGATTCTGAGCTCCGAAGATTTTCCAGCTGTGTTCACAATATACCGGCTACATCGCCCTATCAGACGGGGGGTGGAGTTCTTATAGCGGTGGACTCCTCACTCACGTCAGAATTATTAACCTTCGAGGAATGCAACGATGTTGAATTTCTCTGTGTGAAGCTATCTATCAAAGGTAGCTCCATTTTTATTACCTGTTCCTACATACCTCCATTATCGGAACTTCCTATTTATTGGAATCACCTTTCCGTTATTCAGATAGTTTTCAGTAAACTTTGGGATATAGACCAGTTGGTAGTTCTAGGAGATTTTAATATCCCTGGTGCTATTTGGTGCTCAAATAATTCCACCAATACTCTCCATACACCTACACAACATGGCTTGTTCGACATTTCGCTGTCTCAAGTCAACCATGTTCGAAATTCCTTACAGCGCTTGCTCGATCTTTGCTTCGTCTCTGATCCTGCGAGAGTCAGTTTAGCAAGGGTGGCGCATACAACTTTCGATGTGACTCTTGATATTGGGTGTAACGTACAGAATATTTCTGACCGTCCAGCCAATAAAGTCCTATGTTTTCTCTAGAAGGACTTTACACGGCTGAATAATTTTATAAACGAGTTCAATTGGTCCGATCTATACATGTGCACTGACATGGCAGTTGCCGTGGATATTATTTACAGTGCCATGAATTCATTTTTTACAGAATGTGTTCCGTTATATTATCCGCCAAGCTCGAATAAACCACCGTGGTTTACTTAGGAGTTGAGCCGACTTAAGAATAAAAAATCAAGACTGTATGCTAAATTTAAATTCACCGATTCTCAATCTGCCCTTTCATCTTATTTATCAGCTCGGTCAAACTTTACCGTGCTGAACGCGCAATGTTATAAAAACTATTTAACTCGTTGTAGGGCCCAGTTCTCACAGGACCCAAAACAGTTTTATAATTTCGTTAACACTAAACGTAAGCCTAAAACAAATCCTTCCTCGCTTTCATTTGAAAATACTACCGCAAATAATGATCAGGCAATAGCCGATCTATTTTCGCAGTTTTTACAAACAACCTATTCTAGCTCTTCTTATCTACACCAGACCTATTCCTACGACATACCCAAATCAACCATACCCAAATCAAACTTAATTTTCTGTCCTAGCCTAAACGAAAGCTCTCTTCTTTTAGATCTTCATCGTGTCAAGCCAGTTTATTCGCCATGTCCCGAAGGAATCCCTGTCTGTGTGCTAAGGTATTGTGCCGACGCCCTGTGCTATCCCCTTCTGAAATTGCTTACCTTGTCCTTAGAAACTTCCCACTTTCCCATTATTTGGAAGGAATCGTTTATTATTCCTCTCCACAAAAAAGATAGCAAATTGGATGCCAGCAATTATAGAGGAATTTCTAAGTTGTCGGCCATCCCCAAATTATTTGAAAACATTATCACCCCTCACTTACAGCACCTTTGTATCAGTGATTTCTCCATGTCAACATGGTTTTATTAAGCGAAGATCAACAACAACAAATCTTTTGGAGCTCTCTTCCTATATTTTAAAGGGCTTCCATAATAATTTTCAGACAGATGTAATCTATTCTGATTTCAGTAAAGCATTTGACAGTGTTAACCATTCTCTCCTTGTTAGAAAACTCGATTTAATGGGTTTTCGAAGTGATCTTCTTAATTGGATCTCAAGTTATTTGAATCGCAGGACGCAAAAGGTCCTCTTTAAAAATAATTTATCCAGTGTTCTAAGGGTCACATCTGGCGTCCCGCAAGGAAGCCATTTGGGACCCTTATTGTTTACATTATTTATAAATGACCTACCCAAAGTCTTGACTAACTTCAGAGTGCTTATGTACGCGGATGACGTCAAGCTTTGCGTGCAATACAATGACGTAGCCTGCCAGTCGGATTTACAAACAGATCTCAATAATTTTCAATCTTGGTGCCGTGTAAACTTATTAAACTTAAATGGCTCGAAATGCAAGCTAATGACATTCTCTCGTGTCGTTCCTAAGCTTGCTACTTACACGCTGAACTGCTGCTCTTTGGAAAGAATTAATTCTGTTGATGATTTGGGCGTCCGCTTGGACCCAAAACTTGACTTTATTGATCATATTTCGTCTATGGTGAATAGAGCCAGGGGTGTGCTTGGATTTATTAAACGGTGGTCGAAGGAAATCAATGACCCCTATGTTACTAAATACTTATATACTTCTTTAGTTCGTCCTATTTTAGAATACGGATGCTGCGTTTGGAGCCCACAGTACGGCGTCCATAGTAAACGCATTGAGTCGGTTCAAAAGAACTTTTTACTTTTCGCTCTACGCGGTTTAAATTGGGATGCAAACCAAAACATTACCTTCCTACTCTAGTAGACTCCTATTAATAATAAACTTAATTAATAAACTTGCCGTCCTTAGCCAATCGTAGAACGATGCTAGGGATAACCTTTATTTTTAACCTTCTCCATGGTGATATGGAAAGTGCTGACTTGTTGAGTCAGCTTAATTTCCACGTACCATGTAGAACTACTAGATCCTATATCCCAGTAGTGTTGCGCCACACTAATCTCTAAAGTAGATACCCTTCCCAAATTAAAATCTTTTATACTAACACACTTAGTAAACATGCAACAATCTGGCAGCACGCCGGTAGTCAATTTCCTCGTATTCTGTCCTATATTTTCCATCGCGCCTACTAACACCTAACCCAAACAGGCACGTGCCTATTGTCATACAGGCCACTTGAATGTACTGACCATAATGCATCAACGTCCAAGCTTCCTTACTGACTCAGGATGGTACTGAGAGGGATGGAGACAATGAAGTAGTCAACAGATTGAGTGAACCAAAATTATGCTTAGGTCTTATTGGAGGCTCTAGTTTCGGGTCTCACCTACCTTCTATATAATCTAACTCGTACATAAGTTAAATCGTTCTTGATCGAACTACTATATCATATAGATGCCATAGGAACGATCGGAAATTTCGTTTAGAAAAAAATATTACTTTTTCAGTTTTTAACATATTTCCATCTAATTTAAGACATAGTCATTTTGTATTATTCTAGAGTTTTGATTTAGATTTTTTAAAAATCTGACCACTATAACATATTACTGCCATAGAAAAGACATCGCGTTTGTTTTGCATTTCTATTAATAGAAACACTGTGGCAATGTCATTCACTGTCAAAGATTCATAAGATGACATAAGACAAGGGATGTTTGGCATTCCAACCTCATATGTGAACATAAACGTATGTATGTATGTACACATATGTAAATATTTACATACATAACAAGTAATTTAATGCAAGCATATATTAATAAGTCGGAGATAGTTAATTGGCCCACTCTAATGTGTTGAATGTCTAGTTTGACCACAGTATGTGCGTTTCCATTTGAAGTACCAAAACAAACTTTCCCGTCCGATTTCTGGCTTTATGTTCGAAAAGCCAAAACCAATTTCATGGGTTTAGCTTAGAGAACTCCGATACGATGTAGGCAATAAAAATTCTACCTGCCGATGTTCTGACTTCATTTTCGTTGTTTTCGAAGGGATTAGGAGCAGCGGTTCCGAAATTTAAGTGAGATGATGAAAAATATTATTTACCGAAAAAAAAGAATCGATAGACTCGTTGTTGAAATCGATTTTTCGCAGTTTTAATGGCTGGTGAAGTATTCACAAGTGTTTTGCATTGTAATTTATTAAATATTGTTAAAAGGTAAAAGTGACATTTGTATTCAGTTAACAAATTCATTTCCAGAATAGCTTTGGAGCCTTTTTTAACCTAGACGGTGTGAATGGGAAGGCCATTATATTTCCAGAATTTGATTTCTGTTTAATTGGTGTGTATATTTATGGGAAATATTGTCCATTTGATTCTAACATACATATGTATATGTGTACATATGTATTTTAATTTTAGATTGACGAGGCAACAGCCGGAAGGAAAGACCCGTAACATACGTTTAGGGGAAATGCAAGAAGTTTAGCTAAAAAGAATTGTAGTAATCATTGAACAAATTATAAAGTTTTATAAATAAATAAATAAAAAAAAAATATAAATATAAAATAAGTTATAAATTGCACCAGATATTTACTATGGGGCGGGGGGCTCCGGGCATCTTCTACACGTTTTTCCTCTGAGATTCCTATCTGGTTCTACTATAAATTCCCCTACGATTACAGCCTGATTCCGTCTCAAATTCCTGAAAGATTCCGTTTCGAAATTCCCTTCTGATTCAGGGTGGAATTCGTGTCGAAATTCACGACAAATTCCTAGCAGGATTCCTTGGTGATTCCCGGATAATTCCTCGGGTAGTCCGAATTCAGGTTTTATAACGCCTACTGTATGGAAATTCCTGGATGGCTTGTATGAAAGCTCCCTAATGATTCAGGATGAAGGCCTCTTTAATCCAACCTGATTCAGCTCTTAATCCGGTTGGAATGGTACTGAAGGGATCGCCAACTGTATGGAAATTCCTGGATGGCTTGAATGAAAACTCCCTAATGATTCAAGATGGAGGCCTCTCCAATCCAACCTGATTCAGACCTAAATCCTAAAGAATGGTACTGAAGGGTCCCTAATGATTCAGGATGGAGGCCTCTCCAATCCAATCTGATTCAGACCTAAATCCTAAATGAATGGTACTGATAGGTCTCTGATTCTACTCTAAATTCCCCTATGATAACTGCCTTATTCCGTTTTGAATTCCTGGCTGATTCCGTTCAGAATCCGGGTTGAAATTCCCATCTGATTCAGGGGGGAATTCGTGTGGAAATTCACATTTTCCTAGCAGGATTCCTTAATGATTCCCGGATAATTCCTAGGGTAATCCGAATTCATGTTTTCTACTGCCTACTGTATGGAATATCCTGGATGACTTGTATGAAAATTCATTAATGATTCAGGATGAAGGCCTCTCCAATCCAACCTGGTTCAGACCTGAATCTAAAAGGAATGGTACTGAAGGGATATAACTGCCATAGAAACAATTAAAAATTTAACTTTTCCAGTTTACAAAAGATATTCATTAAATTTTAGATGGAAATTACTTCGTTGTTTTTTAATACAATTATATATAATTTATATTGTATTAATTGTTAATAATCTAATTCAGATCTGCAAGGGTATACAAACTTCGGTGTTCCGAGTTAGCTCGATTTCTTCTACTATTCTAAAAAGATTTAGTTTTCGGTTTAACAAAGCGTTTGTGCGTATTTGACTTTGTTTAAGTGTTAACATTGATCTAACATCAACAGCCGAGTCGACCTAGCTATGTCTGTCTGTCCGTTTGTCCGTTTCTACGCAAACTAGTCTTTCAGTTTTTAATCTATCTAAATAAAACTTTGTAGTTAGTCTTCTATATACTCTCACTCGTATATATGTCAAAACAGACGACTATATCATATAACTTTCATAGGAATGATCGGAAAATTGTTACCAAACAAATTAAACCATTTTCAGTTTTCAACAGAATTTGATCAAATTTGAGAAAAATCGGACTACTATATCATATAGCTCTCATAGAAACGATCGAGAAGTTCATACAATTAATTCGGAGTGCCGAAGTTAGGTTTCTTGTTATATTTTGGGACTCCAAAGTTAAAAACTTTGAAGGAGTAATCGATTAATGTTCAGCATCCAAATACATGGGAGCGGTGGTACTGTTATAAAAATATTAAGATACTTTTTTATTAAACATTTTTTTACCTTAACATTCCCGCGTTCAAACGTATAATCGGAATAATTTTATTATATTGATAGAAAGCATACTGTGTTTGCGGACGTGGGAATAGATGTGTACATTTGTTATACGGAAATTCAATAGACATACAATACGCCTCGACATTCTCTCTATATGTACATACATACATATAATACATATAATGCAAATAAGTTAGTTTTGCAAGTCATTTATTTATTTAAAAGAATTTTTTAATTTTATGATAACAATATTTTTACTTTTAATCTTTCTACATATTATAATTGGAATCAAATGGATTTTTAGAGCATTTCCCTTGAAATTCTCTGTGATTATTTCTACCTATCATATCTTTAAACGGTTTCAAAATCGTTGTTTCCGTTTCCTCTTTTATTGTTCGTACAGCCACTAATTTTGAAATCAATGCAATAACACTCAAAGAATTTGAATTACAAAGTTGCTGTTCTTTTTCTTCCAGAGAAGTAAATTTTACATTGCAAATTACACATTTTATTTCCTCTTTACATTTTGTCTTTTTATAGTTTAAGCATTCTTTATGAAACGTATGTTGACAAAGAAAGTATATGGATTGCATATTTAAGGTTTGATGACAGATATCACATGTATCATTGCGAAATTCAATTGGATTGTTTGTATAAAGAGAAAGTATGCAATTTGATTTTTTAAACGTATTATTTAAATCCTGCATTATTTTTTTTTCCTTTTTACAATCCACTATACCACGAATTATTCCTTCTTTTAACAGAGGTTTTAGCTCCACCGCATGTATTGCCTGATTTGTGCAGGACTTCTTTAACATCATAAGAAATGTTATCGTACTTGAATTCAAATTAAAAGCCACTTCTGGATTCTTTTCAAATAGTTTACTTATGCATTTATTGACTGCGTTGTTTGTGACAGTGTTTTCATTCCGTTTTTTATCGTCAATTTCCCCAATTTCAAATGAAAATTTATAAAGGGTACATATGATTAAAACTTTTTCCAACCGGAGCCTATTACTTTTCAAAAAGTCTATCACTGAATTTTTGGTAATTTTTCTGGCACTGAATAGCTCAAGATACAAAACAAGTAAATAATTACATACATTTTCTCCACATGTGGAATATTCGTTAATAACTTTAGCCAACAAGCTTACACAATACTCTTTGTGTTCAGATAAAATGTAAAGGAAACAGAGCATATTTTTCGATTTTGAATCAAATATTTCCAATCCATCATTTTTAAACAACTTATGAAAATCAAACATATTTCGTTTATCTGCACTTTCTAAAATACGATTTAATAGATTTATTTCTATAAAGTCGTATTGATTTTCCGACGTAGGCTCAAAATATATTTTTGGTAATCTCACAATCTGTATTGCATCCATGAGCCTTTTTTTTGTTTCTGCATCCTTTAACTGATCAATATTTTGTTTCAACTGGTTACGCTTAGAACAACATTCAATAAGTTTCAAATTATGGCCCGATTTTTTTTTTTTTTTTAATTCAAGTAAGTACTCTTCAAGATAATCATTATATCGAGAACAAAGAAGTTTTGAAATTACAGTATATGGCTTAATAAACCCAATTGTTTTAGTATATTCTTGAACAGCTCTACCTATTTCCCCTCTGTGAAGTAAATGATTTCCGTATTGAAAGCGTACTGAAAAAGCTTCTGGGGAAAGCGCAAGGCCTTCTCGTTCTAAAAACTTCAATGCGATTTCATACATATTTTTGTTAATCAAAAGACCAATTTTTTTAGTCATATTATGCTGCTTTAAAATTAATGCATACTTCTTGTCACAGCTTATTATAAAGAACAAATCATTTTCACTTATTGTACAAACGACATCTTGAATTTGACTATAAAATACTATAATTTTATTGTCAGTATCCACAACAATCAAAGTCGAGTTACTTTGTTTTAAAAGCGATTTCATCGGTTTGACGACGATGATAAGATTATGTCCTTCCCAACTCGACCATTTTTTTCTTCCTTCAATGGCAAAACAAGGTCCCCTTCCATCACGCGTATAACAGTACATAGCGTCTTCCCGGCCAACCACCAACATAGACCCATGGAAATCTCCACAAGCAGGTTTACGCATTGTGCAACAATGATTGAAATGGATTTTTTCATTATCAAGCACAAATATTTTATCAATGAAGCCTTTATCTTTTAAAAGAAAACAGTAAACACCATGATTACATGTTATAAAAATGTTTTGAGTGGATATATCAGACAGTTGATCTAAATGTATTCCAATTATTGGATTTGAAGATATGGTGTGTCGACAAAGATTTGTAGAGAAGTCTCTGCTTATTTTTCCATAATGCAGTAGTATATCACCATTTGCAAAGCCTATACCCAAGGCAAGTAATTTTTCATCAATGACGTCTGCAGTCATGCAAGCAGCTGTGCTTTTAACATGGGGATAGGATGCAGATGCAATAATAGGAGCTTCATGCTTTTTTGTCAATCTTCGTAAATCATATAGATTTATATAAAGCCTATAATGAGCATCGTGAATTGCAGTTGCAAGCACATTATTCGATGTTAGCGCACATAGCTTAATAGTTTCGTTAGGGTGTTGAGATTTAAACGAAACACATTCCCAATCGGAAAAATAAACATGTATATTTCCGTGTTGGTCACAAAGCACTATTCTAATTTTCTTTTCCTCAGGGATTGCATTGTTCACGTTAACGCAATAACACGTTATGTCTGCCGTGTCAGGGCATTTAGTAAATGGTATTGTGTTGTATATGTTGGCTGTTTTCCACTCTAGCACACTTTTATCCATTTTATTAAATCGCTCCAAAACTAACTCAAGCTAAGCTGCTAGTTTTAAGTTACATTCGTAAATTGTTTATTTATTTTAAGAACTGTCAAGCAACTAGCACGAATGTTAATTTTAATAATCCAAATGGTAATAGTCAATTCACACTACGGACCATGACGGTACGTATGCATTTGCGAATATTTCACCGTCTACAGTGTTTTTCAAATCTCTAGTGTTTTTCTCCGCTGCAAACAGCTATTGAGCCAAAAGGAATTCCAACTAATTTGATCAATTTGAAGACAACGTTGGCTTAAGCTAAAACAATGTCAGACATATAAATGCATTATAGCATATGAAGACACTTTGGGAAAAAAAATACCGGAAAACACCAACTATATTTAGCAAACCTTTACCATCTTGTTTTAAATTTTTTAAGTGAATAGTCAAATTCTCGACTTCGGATGCAGAACAGATGGAGAACATTATCCGAAAAGCGAAAAACACTATAAGCTTCCAAAATATATTGACCAAAGCATAAACAAAAATATAAGAGAAAAGTGGCCGAAAGAATCACACTTTAATGCTTGAACATTTTTAATAGGTTCTTACCGCAGAAATCCAACTGCCTTCCTCCATCCGTTAAACGAATAGTCCATAAGGTTTTGCAATTCCTAAATTGTATATATTGCTCGTCATTCTTCGTACATCCGAATTTAATAAATTTGTTTTGTCAAAAGCTATATGATTATTTTTTATTTCAAACGGCTTTTCTACTCTATTAGGAAAATATCTTGTGAGTCTAAAAGTGGTAGAGATATACTCTTCGGGGCATTTATTTTTTGTTAGGGATATATAGGAGTATTTCAAACTCCACGTCATCTAATCTATTTTAATATGGTGCAAACAGAATCTGCCGTAATCTGCAGTTTTCTGTTGTACAACAGCCAATAAATAATTCATTTTGGTTCCGCAGAAGCCGCTTCAACCATATTTGTTTATTTGTTATATGAACCACAGCTGTTCAATAAGCTGTTATCGGATGGTAGATGGAGATTAGCTCTGTGAAAATTGAGGTTTCACATCTGCCAAAAAATAAAACTTGTTCACCGTTTCTGACTTTCATATTTTGCTGACTGGGCAAACCACTTTAAAAATTAACGTATTCACTACACAACATAAGGACCATTGAGCATTTAGCAGAAGAAAATTATTACTGAATATTTATAGATTTAATGGATACAGAGCGATCTATATGGTTGTAATTCCGATGAGAATAATAAGGATTGAGGAGGATAAGAAAAACGAGGATTGCAAACCAAAAGTAATATAAATTATTAGTCATAAAATAATTGGCATCCTTTGTTATTCTTCAATGATTATTTATAATAAATAAAATATTTATGTAATTTTTCTATCTTTCTTCTTTTCTGTAGACACAAACACAGTGTAAAATGTTATAATATCGAAAATAGACGAAATAAATTTAACAACTTGCCTTGTCAAGAAGAGAAAACCTTTACATTATATAATAAATTATTATATTATGTGCCTGGTTATAATATATTGCTTAGACAATTTCAGGAATATTTATAAAGTCTATAGCTCTTTTTGAGGTATACTTTGAGTTGTCCATTTATGTTGTCTTACAAGGAAAATCAAATAAATGATGGCGGAAAACCATGCATATTCGTGGGGACATTTAATTTTTGTCAGAGAAACATCACTCTATAGTTTTTAATTCAACATCATCCACTTCAATCTAATTTATTTCAGGTATGTACAGGTTTTATGATATTTTCTGCTAACCCATATTTGTTTAGTAATTTACACTAATGGATTGTGTAACAATTGGTTTCCTTCAGTAGTTTTTTAATGAGTATTTGTTGATCAAGTGTTTTCTGGTGAACGCTCATGATACATTATGCAAACGTAATAACTTAGAATTTTAAATTTTTTTCTCTTGGCTTCCCGACTAAGACGTGTTAACACATATCTGAAAATAAGTGAAATTTTCTACAAAATAAATCTTTAATCTTCTCATTAAAAAAATGATGAAATTCATGAAGATGCGTCTTATTCAATTCATTACGTCTTTATCCGCAATACTTTACTGTAGTCTGTTTGTCTGACAACACCAAGATCGAAAAATTATTGAAGAATAACTAGTGTTGTTAATGATATTACCTAACATTGATCCCGTGATATCCCGTGTTCCAGTCCTTGTGTTATTTATTTATTTGTAGTATTTGCCAGAATTCAAAAATTGGATGTGAAACACATTGAAGACCTTCCAGAAAGTCAAACATTATGGACAATCTGTTTAAGAATTGTGAATGGAAACTGATGGATGTGAGAATATACTATTAATTTACTTGGTATAAGATAGTTGTTTCTTATCAGCTATTTCTAAATTATGAAAGACTTCAGTAGCAGAGCTATCGAAGCTAAATATTGACTATCGGGATTACCGTTTCCATATCCGCTTTAGTTTTCCCTCTTTTTTATAGTACTTCGTAGGAAGAGGTATGCGTGCTCATAGATCTTGAGTAATCTACAACGATTTAATGTCTTAAGCATTTTTTATTGCTTAATACATATTAGTGTAAGGTTCCACATCATTAATATCAATTATTTTGGTTATATTCCACTAGGTTTCGAAATGGGCCGCCGACCTGCTAGATGGTAAATTTTTCAATCTTTGGTTAATAAATATAAACAATTAGTAAATATTTATAATTCTAGCTACCGTTATTGCAAAAACAAGCCCTATCCTAAGTCCCGGTTCTGCCGTGGTGTTCCGGATCCAAAAATTCGTATATTTGACTTGGGAAGAAAGAAAGCCACTGTTGAAGATTTTCCACTTTGCGTTCATTTGGTTTCTGATGAATATGAGCAGCTAAGCAGTGAGGCTTTGGAAGCTGGTCGTATTTGTTGCAACAAGTATTTGGTAAAATACTGCGGAAAGGATCAGTTCCACATTAGAATGCGCCTGCATCCATTCCACGTCATTCGTATAAATAAAATGTTGTCGTGTGCTGGAGCGGATAGGTAAGAATTAAGCTATTGGTTCGCGTTTGCAGTTTTCTTATGTGCATTAAGATCCATTATATATTTAATATATATTATGCTTATTTTCACCTATTTCAGACTCCAAACTGGAATGAGGGGTGCGTTTGGCAAGCCACAGGGCACTGTAGCTCGCGTTCGTATTGGACAGCCTATCATGTCTGTCCGCTCAAGCGATCGTTACAAGGCTCAAGTCGTTGAAGCTTTACGTCGTGCTAAGTTCAAGTTTCCTGGTCGTCAAAAGGTAAGTCATATTGGTCAGTATTTTGATAAAATTATATCTGAAGAAAAGTATATATGAATGGAAATTTGGGCTAAGCACACGCCATTGCAATAAAGACCTGCTAGAATGTCTGGTTTTTCGTGCTGTGAATCGTGTTGTCTTCCCGGATGAACCTCTCGCCAGCAAAAGTATTTACATAATGAAAAATCTGTATAACCGAACTTTTAGTTCTTATTGTAGTTTTTGACACATATTCCTCAAATAGTTTTTTATTAGCTTTCTCTAATCAAAAGTAACCTGAAAAGAAATGCGGAGGTTTCACGGTTCATAGGACAATATAAGCGACTAATTTTATGTTTTTGTTGTAATACTACGTTATCAAAGGAAATGATGGGTATCCGACAACATGAAGTATATTATTTCATCATCGACAGCTAAGTTCATTTAGCTATATTCGTCTGTTGTCCGTAAGAATAAAATATATCGGAGACTAAAGAAAGTCACCAAACAAAAGATCTCGGAGACTAAAAGAACAATTGATGATTGCTTACAATTAATCCGTTTTCTTTTTCTTATTTTATTATATTTTTAGATCTATGTCTCCAAGAAGTGGGGCTTTACTAAGTATGACCGAGAGCGTTATGAGGAACTCCGAGATGATAACCGTCTTGAACAAGATGGTTGCAATGTCAAATATCGCCCAGAGCATGGTCCGATGGCTGCTTGGGAAAAAAGTCAGCGTGATGTGTATGCTTAAATATACTTTAATTGGTTGGAAAAGTATGTAATACGAAAGCAAATACACAAAAATATAACCAGCTGAATCCGTTCAATCTAAATGTTTTCATTTTTCTTAGTACCTGATAAAAAAGTGGGTTTGCGGCGTAACACAGAATTATCCGATATTGAAAAAAATGCAAAGATTAAAGGATAAGTGTCCGAAGGTACTCATGTAGAATCCGTTGCAGGGTATCTTTTATTCAAAAATTCAAAGTATATCTATTGATCTGCTCCAACAGCCGAGTTGATCTAGCCATCTCGGTCCTACCTCTGTTTCTCGGCAAATAAGAACCTCGGTTTATTACACCCTTGCAGGGTATTATAATTTCAGTCAGAAGTTTGCAACGCAGTGAAGGAGGCACCTCCGACTATATAAAGTATATATTGTTGATCATGTTGTAGCCATGTCTCCGTTTGTACGCAAACTAGTCTCTCACTTTTGAAGCTATCTGAATGAATCTTTGCAGTTAGCCTTCTGTATACTCTCACTCGTATATATGTCGGAACGGGCCGGATCGGACGACTATATCATATAGCTGCCATAGGAATGATCGGAAAATTTGTACAAAAAAAATTATAACATTTTTAGTTTTCAACAGAATTTTATCAAATTTGAGATATAGCCATTTCATATTATTCTACAATTTTGTGTAAAATTTGATGCAAATCGGACGACTATATCATATAGCTCCCATAGGAACGATCGAGAAATTAATTCAATTAAAAAGTATAACATTTTCAGTTTTCAACAGATTTTCATCAAATTTGAGATATAGCCATTTTATATTAGTCTTAAATTTTGTGTTAAATTTTATGATAATCGGACGACTGTATCATATAGGTGCCATACAGACGATCGTTAGATGTGAAGCAAAAATGCAAATCTGTGAATGTAAATCCGCAAACATAATATGTATAGGTGAATGAAATGAAAGCAGGTATTACTTCATTGTTTTTTAACAAAAATATATATAATTTATTTTGTATAGATTCCTAGTCATCGAAGTTCTTCGGCGTGCCGAAGTTAGCTTCCTTTCTTGATATACCCTTGCAGGGTATTATAATTTCAGTCAGAAGTTTGCAACGCAGTGAAGGAGGCACCTCCGACTATATGAAGTATATATTCTTGATCAGGATCAACAGCCGAGTCGATCTAGCCATGTCTCCGTTTGTACGCAAACTAGTCTCTCACTTTTGAAGCTATCTGAATGAATCTTTGCAGTTAGCCTTCTGTATACTCTCATTCGTATATATGTCGGAACGGGCCGGATCGGACGACTATATCATATAGCTGCCATAGGAATGATCGGAAAATTTGTACAAAAAAAATTATAACATTTTTAGTTTTCAACAGAATTTTATCAAATTTGAGATATAGCCATTTCATATTATTCTACAATTTTGTGTAAAATTTGATGAAAATCGGACGACTATATCATATAGCTCCCATAGGAACGATCGAGAAATTAATTCAATTAAAAAGTATAACATTTTCAGTTTTCAACAGATTTTCATCAAATTTGAGATATAGCCATTTTATATTAGTCTTAAATTTTGTGTTAAATTTTATGATAATCGGACGACTGTATCATATAGGTGCCATACAGACGATCGTTAGATGTGAAGCAAAAATGCAAATCTGTGAATGTAAATCCGCAAATATAATATGTATAGGTGAATGAAATGAAAGCAGGTATTACTTCATTGTTTTTTAACAAAAATATATATAATTTATTTTGTATAGATTCCTAGTCATCGAAGTTCTTCGGCGTGCCGAAGTTAGCTTCCTTTCTTGTTATACCCTTACAGGGTATTATAATTTCAGTCAGAAGTTTGCAACGCAGTGAAGGAGGCACCTCCGTCTATATGAAGTATATATTCTTGATCAGGATCAACAGCCGAGTCGATCTAGCCATGTCTCCGTTTGTACGCAAACTAGTCTCTCACTTTTGAAGCTATCTGAATGAATCTTTGAAGTTAGCCTTCTGTATACTCTCACTCGTATATATGTCGGAACGGGCCGGATCGGACGACTATATCATATAGCTGCCATAGGAATGATCGGAAAATTTGTACAAAAAAAATTATAACATTTTTAGTTTTCAACAGAATTTTATCAAATTTGAGATATAGCCATTTCATATTATTCTACAATTTTGTGTAAAATTTGATGAAAATCGGACGACTATATCATATAGCTCCCATAGGAACGATCGAGAAATTAATTCAATTAAAAAGTATAACATTTTCAGTTTTCAACAGATTTTCATCAAATTTGAGATATAGCCATTTTATATTAGTCTTAAATTTTGTGTTAAATTTTATGATAATCGGACGACTGTATCATATAGGTGCCATACAGACGATCGTTAGATGTGAAGCAAAAATGCAAATCTGTGAATGTAAATCCGCAAATATAATATGTAAAGGTGAATGAAATGAAAGCAGGTATTACTTCATTGTTTTTTAACAAAAATATATATAATTTATTTTGTATAGATTCCTAGTCATCGAAGTTCTTCGGCGTGCCGAAGTTAGCTTCCTTTCTTGTTATACCCTTACAGGGTATTATAATTTCAGTCAGAAGTTTGCAACGCAGTGAAGGAGGCACCTCCGACTATATAAAGTATATATTCTTGATCAGGATCAACAGCCGAGTCGATCTAGCCATGTCTCCGTTTGTACGCAAACTAGTCTCTCACTTTTGAAGCTATCTGAATGAATCTTTGCAGTTAGCCTTCTGTATACTCTCACTCGTATATATGTCGGAACGGGCCGGATCGGACGACTATATCATATAGCTGCCATAGGAATGATCGGAAAATTTGTACAAAAAAAATTATAACATTTTTAGTTTTCAACAGAATTTTATCATATAGCTCCCATAGGAACGATCGAGAAATTAATTCAATTAAAAAGTATAACATTTTCAGTTTTCAACAGATTTTCATCAAATTTGAGATATAGCCATTTTATATTAGTCTTAAATTTTATGATAATCGGACGACTGTATCATATAGGTGCCATACAGACGATCGTTAGATGTGAAGCAAAAATGCAAATCTGTGAATGTAAATCCGCAAATATAATATGTATAGGTGAATGAAATGAAAGCAGGTATTACTTCATTGTTTTTTAACAAAAATATATATAATTTATTTTGTATAGATTCCTAGTCATCGAAGTTCTTCGGCGTGCCGAAGTTAGCTTCCTTTCTTGTTATACCCTTACAGGGTATTATAATTTCAGTCAGAAGTTTGCAACGCAGTGAAGGAGGCACCTCCGACTATATAAAGTATATATTCTTGATCAGGATCAACAGCCGAGTCGATCTAGCCATGTCTCCGTTTGTACGCAAACTAGTCTCTCACTTTTGAAGCTATCTGAATGAATCTTTGCAGTTAGCCTTCTGTATACTCTCACTCGTATATATGTCGGAACGGGCCGGATCGGACGACTATATCATATAGCTGCCATAGGAATGATCGGAAAATTTGTACAAAAAAATTATAACATTTTTAGTTTTCAACAGAATTTTATCAAATTTGAGATATAGCCATTTCATATTATTCTACAATTTTGTGTAAAATTTGATGAAAATCGGACGACCATATCATATAGCTCCCATAGGAACGATCGAGAAATTAATTCAATTAAAAAGTATAACATTTTCAGTTTTCAACAGATTTTCATCAAATTTGAGATATAGCCATTTTATATTAGTCTTAAATTTTGTGTTAAATTTTATGATAATCGGACGACTGTATCATATAGGTGCCATACAGACGATCGTTAGATGTGAAGCAAAAATGCAAATCTGTGAATGTAAATCCGCAAATATAATATGTATAGGTGAATGAAATGAAAGCAGGTATTACTTCATTGTTTTTTAACAAAAATATATATAATTTATTTTGTATAGATTCCTAGTCATCGAAGTTCTTCGGCGTGCCGAAGTTAGCTTCCTTTCTTGTTATACCCTTGCAGGGTATTATAATTTCAGTCAGAAGTTTGCAACGCAGTGAAGGAGGCACCTCCGACTATATAAAGTATATATTCTTGATCAGGATCAACAGCCGAGTCGATCTAGCCATGTCTCCGTTTGTACGCAAACTAGTCTCTCACTTTTGAAGCTATCTGAATGAATCTTTGCAGTTAGCCTTCTGTATACTCTCACTCGTATATATGTCGGAACGGGCCGGATCGGACGACTATACCATATAGCTGCCATAGGAATGATCGGAAAATTTGTACAAAAAAAATTATAACATTTTTAGTTTTCAACAGAATTTTATCAAATTTGAGATATAGCCATTTCATATTATTCTACAATTTTGTGTAAAATTTGATGAAAATCGGACGACTATATCATATAGCTCCCATAGGAACGATCGAGAAATTAATTCAATTAAAAAGTATAACATTTTCAGTTTTCAACAGATTTTCATCAAATTTGAGATATAGCCATTTTATATTAGTCTTAAATTTTGTGTTAAATTTTATGATAATCGGACGACTGTATCATATAGGTGCCATACAGACGATCGTTAGATGAGAAGCAAAAATGCAAATCTGTGAATGTAAATCCGCAAATATAATATGTATAGGTGAATGAAATGAAAGCAGGTATTATTTCATTGTTTTTTAACAAAAATATATATAATTTATTTTGTATAGATTCCTAGTCATCGAAGTTCTTCGGCGTGCCGAAGTTAGCTTCCTTTCTTGTTATACCCTTGCAGGGTATTATAATTTCAGTCAGAAGTTTGCAACGCAGTGAAGGAGGCACCTCCGTCTATATGAAGTATATATTCTTGATCAGGATCAACAGCCGAGTCGATCTAGCCATGTCTCCGTTTGTACGCAAACTAGTCTCTCACTTTTGAAGCTATCTGAATGAATCTTTGCAGTTAGCCTTCTGTATACTCTCACTCGTATATATGTCGGAACGGGCCGGATCGGACGACTATATCATATAGCTGCCATAGGAATGATCGGAAAATTTGTACAAAAAAAATTATAACATTTTTAGTTTATAACAGAATTTTATCAAATTTGA